AGTTTTTGAATTTGCTTATTAAAAATAACGGGAATCGTCGCTTTCCTCGACATCTTCTACCGACGGAAAACTATTAAATATAGTACAGTGCAACTCATTGAAGTAACTAGAGTAGTTATAGATTACCACTCCATATTACCCCAAATACACATTTTTCCCTGATTCTCCTAGTTTTTTTCCCTATAGAGTATTCTCCGTTAGTAAATGAAAGGAAATTAATTTGATTTTATTTTCGTTCTGAAATTAACTTTTTCAAATCAAATTTTGTTAAATGACAGAAATGGAAAACAGAGAATTAACAGAGTCGATTTATACTCAGAGAATTATGACAAAGATAACCATAAGAATCAGGGAAAAAAGTGTATTAGGGGTGGTCTGGAAGTGGCAGTCCTGTAACTACTTGCATCTTCGTTGTGTTCAATTAACAGCTTCACGAGAGTTACGTCACCAATTACAAGTGCCTGGTAAAGGGGTGTATATCCATCATTATCTTCAATATTTATATCCGCGCTGTGTTCAAGTAATATGGCAACGACAGCTTCGTTTCCTTCATCGACTGACAGGTGTAGTGGTGTTGCTCCTTCTCCATCTTGAATATTTACATCCGCGTTATGTTCAAGTAGCAATCTTACAAGGAATTCTTCATCCTCGTCGACTAAATAGTGTAGTGGTGTTTTTCCTTTATTATCTTGAATATTTACATCTGCGTTGTGTTTAAGTAACAATCTCACGATATTTACGTTCCCCCTTACGACTGACCTATGTAGTGGTGTATTTCCATATTTATCTTGAATATTTACATTGGCGTTGAGTTCAAGTAGCATGGTTACGAAAGTTTCGTTATCTTCATCGACTGACAGATGCAGTAGTGTTACTCCATTCATATCCTGAATATTTACATCCACGTTATGTTCAAGTAGCAATCTTACGAGGAATTCTTCATTCTCGCCGACTAAATAATGTAGTGGTGTTTTTCCTTCATTATCTTGAATATTTGCATCCGCGTTGTGTTCAAGTAGCGATCTTACAAGGTATTCTTCATTCTCGCCGACTAAATAGTGTAGTGGTGTTTTTCCTTTAATGTCTTGAATATTTACATCCGCGTTGTGCTCAAGTAGCAATCTTACAAGGTATTCCTCATTCTCGTCGACTAAATAGTGTAGTGGTGTTTTTCCCTCATTATCTTGAATATCGACATCCGCATTGTGTTCAAGCAGCAATCTTACAACGTTTTCTTCAACCTCGTCGTCTAAAAAGTGTAGTGGTGTTTTTCCTTCATTATCTTGAATATTTACTTCCGCGTTGTATTCAAGCATCAATTTGACGAGTTCTTCGTTAACAGAGCTGACTAACGTGAAAAGTACTGTATATCCGTACCTATCCTGAACATTTACATCAGCTCCATGCTTTACAATTAAGCTTGCTGCCATGTTGTTGTTCCAGTTAGCTGCTAACATTAGTGGTGTTTCTTTGCTTTCTGTCCTTTGGGCATTAACGTCGGCCCCAAGATCAATGAGGGTCTCAATAAACTGACTTGAGGATGAACGACTCGCCCACAACAAAGCTGTGTAATCATTGTCTGACGCTCGGGCATTAATATCTACACCGTCATTTAATACAAGTTCAACTGCCTGTTCCGCATCCTCATGACACGTAGCCCGCTGCAGCTCAGTCAGACTGCTGCTGTCCTTTGCCCAATCATTATAACGACTTTCGATAAAATAATGACCTGGTTCTCCTGGTTCTTCCCTCTCTAAAAGTGATAAGACTGCGCTATTCCCCGGAAAAACTTTGGCGTTATTTCCCGTTTTTACAAGTTCCATCCCTTCTACAAAATTATCAAGTGGGTGATATTCTCCCCTGTAGACGGCAGCCTGTTCATCAGCTTCTTCTACTCTTGAGAGTTTCTTTAGACTTACCTATGAAGAAAATGATCATGTTCATGAGCGAAAATAATTAACAATTCGTTGGACACATTTTTAACTACCTTTTTGGCAGGTAATAGATAAACCCGGCGTCACCTGTATTGCAGAGATACGTTTTAATTTAAGCCATTTACACTGCATACAATCAGACAGGAAGAAAGAAGCAGAGAAGCACTTTAGACTTCTAAAAAGGCGTGTGTTGCATTAAACAGAAGGAAGTATAGAAATGAAAAGGCAATCTGCAGTACGGCGCTGAAATGGGAAACTATGCTTTGTCGAAACAAGCAACGCCCTCCGGGTTAAACTTGGTCAACATTAACAATACCCGTATGTAAGTGTCCAAATATTACGGGGACGACCGAACGGAAGGTGATTTATGATCTGACTGGACTTAACTTGAGGCAGCCCGGTAATAATAATAACTAATAATGATAATAATAATCATTATAATAATCATAATCATGAATGCCGAGGAAGAGAGGAGGTTAATCGAAAATAATACTCCATAGTCAACCATAGACATTTTTACCGATACGGCGGCCATATTGAATTAATTAAATTTAAGGAGTACTATGGGATGCCCAGGGGGGCACGAGCACGATCCGATATAATCGCTCAGTATTTACGTGCGCTTTTCGGGACAATTTTTTTTAGATCTCCTAGAAAAAGATTGTAATGGGAAAAAAGATCGTTGTGCTGTGTTTGGATGCAATAATGATCGCCTTTTTCCTGAGAAATACACATTGAAGTTCTCTTTTTGCCCAAAAAGCGCGCGTAAATACTGAGCGAGTGCCCCCTGGGCATCCCATAATACTCCGTAAATCTAATAAATTCAATATGGCCGCCATATCGGTAGAAGGGTCTATTGCAATGAAAAAGTAGTCTTGAAAATATTGTTCTGGAATGACCGAATGGAGGTAAACAAAAAGGTCTTGAGTGCAACGCTTGGACACTGCTTTAGCGCTGCTATTACCGCTGAGTCACTGAATTTTGACTGATTAAATTGATGAAATAACAAGTTTAATTTTGTGTAATAGCAAATTTACTGTGTGTGTTATTTTGAAAGAACATTAAATAACCATCCACCATTTGTTGTGTCAGTTGTTATTCTTTAATGAATGTTCATAAGTCACATGTAGAGACATACAATTTGATAAAACACTGCATTCTAATAAGAGGAGGTTTTATAAGATATAATGTCACTGCACGTGATGTATTATCTACCAATCGATAGGTCAATGTACTTATGAATTATTAATAAGTTTTTGAATTTGCTTATTAAAAATAACGGGAATCGTCGCTTTCCTCGACATCTTCTACCGACGGAAAACTATTAAATATAGTACAGTGCAACTCATTGAAGTAACTAGAGTAGTTATAGATTACCACTCCATATTACCCCAAATACACATTTTTCCCTGATTCTCCTAGTTTTTTTCCCTATAGAGTATTCTCCGTTAGTAAATGAAAGGAAATTAATTTGATTTTATTTTCGTTCTGAAATTAACTTTTTCAAATCAAATTTTGTTAAATGACAGAAATGGAAAACAGAGAATTAACAGAGTCGATTTATACTCAGAGAATTATGACAAAGATAACCATAAGAATCAGGGGAAAAAGTGTATTAGGGGTGGTCTGGAAGTGGCAGTCCTGTAACTACTTGCATCTTCGTTGTGTTCAATTAACAGCTTCACGAGAGTTACGTCACCAATTACAAGTGCCTGGTAAAGGGGTGTATATCCATCATTATCTTCAATATTTATATCCGCGCTGTGTTCAAGTAATATGGCAACGACAGCTTCGTTTCCTTCATCGACTGACAGGTGTAGTGGTGTTGCTCCTTCTCCATCTTGAATATTTACATCCGCGTTATGTTCAAGTAGCAATCTTACAAGGAATTCTTCATCCTCGTCGACTAAATAGTGTAGTGGTGTTTTTCCTTTATTATCTTGAATATTTACATCTGCGTTGTGTTTAAGTAACAATCTCACGATATTTACGTTCCCCCTTACGACTGACCTATGTAGTGGTGTATTTCCATATTTATCTTGAATATTTACATTGGCGTTGAGTTCAAGTAGCATGGTTACGAAAGTTTCGTTATCTTCATCGACTGACAGATGCAGTAGTGTTACTCCATTCATATCCTGAATATTTACATCCACGTTATGTTCAAGTAGCAATCTTACGAGGAATTCTTCATTCTCGCCGACTAAATAATGTAGTGGTGTTTTTCCTTCATTATCTTGAATATTTGCATCCGCGTTGTGTTCAAGTAGCGATCTTACAAGGTATTCTTCATTCTCGCCGACTAAATAGTGTAGTGGTGTTTTTCCTTTAATGTCTTGAATATTTACATCCGCGTTGTGCTCAAGTAGCAATCTTACAAGGTATTCCTCATTCTCGTCGACTAAATAGTGTAGTGGTGTTTTTCCCTCATTATCTTGAATATCGACATCCGCATTGTGTTCAAGCAGCAATCTTACAACGTTTTCTTCAACCTCGTCGTCTAAAAAGTGTAGTGGTGTTTTTCCTTCATTATCTTGAATATTTACTTCCGCGTTGTATTCAAGCATCAATTTGACGAGTTCTTCGTTAACAGAGCTGACTAACGTGAAAAGTACTGTATATCCGTACCTATCCTGAACATTTACATCAGCTCCATGCTTTACAATTAAGCTTGCTGCCATGTTGTTGTTCCAGTTAGCTGCTAACATTAGTGGTGTTTCTTTGCTTTCTGTCCTTTGGGCATTAACGTCGGCCCCAAGATCAATGAGGGTCTCAATAAACTGACTTGAGGATGAACGACTCGCCCACAACAAAGCTGTGTAATCATTGTCTGACGCTCGGGCATTAATATCTACACCGTCATTTAATACAAGTTCAACTGCCTGTTCCGCATCCTCATGACACGTAGCCCGCTGCAGCTCAGTCAGACTGCTGCTGTCCTTTGCCCAATCATTATAACGACTTTCGATAAAATAATGACCTGGTTCTCCTGGTTCTTCCCTCTCTAAAAGTGATAAGACTGCGCTATTCCCCGGAAAAACTTTGGCGTTATTTCCCGTTTTTACAAGTTCCATCCCTTCTACAAAATTATCAAGTGGGTGATATTCTCCCCTGTAGACGGCAGCCTGTTCATCAGCTTCTTCTACTCTTGAGAGTTTCTTTAGACTTACCTATGAAGAAAATGATCATGTTCATGAGCGAAAATAATTAACAATTCGTTGGACACATTTTTAACTACCTTTTTGGCAGGTAATAGATAAACCCGGCGTCACCTGTATTGCAGAGATACGTTTTAATTTAAGCCATTTACACTGCATACAATCAGACAGGAAGAAAGAAGCAGAGAAGCACCAGTAGGGAACAGAACTAAGAACCATACGAGCTTGTCTTACAATGTAAAATTAAGGAAAGAAAAAGAAATGATTCTCCAAAAAGTAACACATATAAACTGCTAATTATGTCAAAAGACAAAACTACGATTTTATGCCCAGGATCAAAGTCCCCATTCTTGTAAAAATCTCTGCAATGTTTTTTGAAGCAAGAGAGGCTTAGGTCTTCAGTTCTAAGGTTCTCTGGGAAGTTATTCCATGAATAACGAATTCTGTCTAAAAATGTTTCCTTGAACAGTTGGGTTTATACTGAAAAAAAAAATGCTAACGCGGGTCAACTTCTTTGCAAAAACAAAAATTGCCGCTGAGTCGCTGGAAAACGACAGAAATCTTAAAAATAGTAAAATTTCAAAGCTTAAACTTTACCAGTAAGCCAAAGGGATATCTGCTGCAAATTGTGGGAAAAGATGATCGTACTTAACAGAAGAAAGGAAAAAGCGACGAAGCTAAAAGAAGAAGTAAACTTTTCAAGCTTGAAAAGGGTAAAGTGTGTTAAAATGACAATGATTTACTTTCTCTAATTATCTTACTTCTTAGTATTCTATTTTACTTTTGTGTATATCTGTAAAACGGCGTTTAAGCTGCTCAGTATATCGTCTGTAAAAAATTCTGTGTTCGAGTTCTTGTGGAGCGAAATGTGCGTACGTTTTTCCTTATGTGACTGAATATTTTGATTAATAATGTAAGCTAAATTTAAGCTTATGTATAAATAAACTTATACTATTTTAGTCATCTTCGTTTAAACCGATTTAACTTCCTTACAGTGCAAGGCATTTATGGCGAACGTCTGCCCCGTCGGTTTATTTTTTTTCAAATACACAAGATTTTGCACTCGCCCCGTTAGAAAAAATGTCTACTAAAAAGAAGGTTTCAGTTTAACTTGCAGGCTTTCGACAAGTAATTACACTATAATGGAAGGTGTGGCTTAAAGAAGTTTTAACCACCACTGAAAATAACATTAAATGGCTTCAGGGTATTACCTTGTTTAAGGTTCTGAAACCATCTTCCCATTTTTATTGAACTCACTCACCGACCACTATTTCAGTCAGTTTCTGGTTAGGTTCGGTTGTTTTTCTCAGTGATGACGAGCTGATTTTCCTTTTGCTGTTTAAAACAATGATTTCTCAAGCCTGTAAGTAAGGTTTGAGACCTCCAAAACCTTTCAACGTTTCAAATTTTCCTTTTCTTCAGCAACTCATCCGCAGTTTTCTCATGTTTGTTTGTCTTGGCCTCGCTTTCGCCTAAAAACAAGCGGTGGATTTTGCAATCGGGCTAGTAAACTCTGTTTTTAACTTGCCCGACGGGCAAGTGATTTTTTTTTAAGGAATTCAAATAACTGAAGAACTGTGAGATCAATTCTACTCGCCAAAGAGCTTTTGTAGTTAGTTGCAATGGCGTCTGGGCTAGTAAATGCTAGCTTCAGCTTGCCCGAATGCCAAGCTGTAAAAATGATTTTCTTTGCACCCTGGTTAAGAACAAAAGCATTTCTCTCCTTTGGGAACTAAACCCTATTTTCATGTAAATTCTTCGAGGGAAAATTGTATTGACCACAAACACACCACCAACATGGCCGCCTTATCACCTGGTGGCAAGCCAAGAATATTCACAGCATACAGTTGAACCTACATTAAGTAACCACCCCCTATTAAGCTGCCAGTGATCAAAGTTCCAAAATAATTGTAGAAAAGACCTTCAAATGAGACAACGATTAAGCGGCCACCTCCAAAAAGCGGCCGCAGCCGCTGTTTTCGCCATCTCAAAGAATGGAGGAAGGAGAAAGGATTTCTTTTTCTTGCTAAAGTATGTCGTGTCACTGAGCAAATTGCAAAGAATTTCTTCGATGACAAGTAATTTTGTCGCCGATTGTATGTACTAGTCCATTTGGCAAAATGTGAGAATTCTAATAAATGTTCAACCGTTAACGAAACAAACGTTCGCGATTTTAGGTAAATGAATAACAAACTGTTAAAGAACTCCATCCCAAAGACGACGTTTTGCCAGATGAATTAAGGAGAAAAAATCTGACATCTTACTGGTTGATGAAGACTTGGCCTGGCATCATTCTTCAGCAGCAACTGCACTATGGAGTTGTGATTTTGACGTTCAGCTTTTTGCAGAGGTGTACGTCGAAACTGAAAGCATTTTAAGCAGAGTAACATTTGTTGCTTACCACAACCTGGACATAAGTGCTGTAGCATGAGCTAAATTAACTGCTGTGTAACAAGATCAAATGATAACCTTAAAGCATAAAACGTATCCTCCCGTAGTCGTTGAGTTGGTCTTATAGGAAGTATATTAGTAATAATCCCGTTTTGTTAAAGGTGTATTACAATTCATGAAACCCCTTTGACAGTTGAAAAGTGGCTCATTATCATTCCGTAATTGGTGTATAAGCGATGGAGTAGACGCTTAAATATGAAGGAGATAAAGAGGAAACATAACAGTACCACTAACGTGTACTGTACGTGACACAGGTGGGACTAAAGGATATCACGGATGGAATTGGAGCAAATGTATTGGAATGCACGAAGAAACGTTCAAGACAAAACGTTGTCTAGCAATGGAAAACTAACACGTTTGCAAAAACTAAAACATTTCTTTTCTAAGGTTTTTGCAATATGTGATGATGTTAAAAATATATATTAAAAACAACAAAAAAACAATTGTATGAGTTATTGTTTTAAGTTCAAGTTTTTTAATTTAATTAATTTTACTTTGGCGCAGCGAGAAGTAAAGGATTCGCCGGGGAATGTTTAAAAGTTGCATTCGGATGTTCCGAAGTTGCTTCGGAATTAGTTCGAGATATCTTGATNAGTACCACTAACGTGTACTGTACGTGACACAGGTGGGACTAAAGGATATCACGGATGGAATTGGAGCAAATGTATTGGAATGCACGAAGAAACGTTCAAGACAAAACGTTGTCTAGCAATGGAAAACTAACACGTTTGCAAAAACTAAAACATTTCTTTTCTAAGGTTTTTGCAATATGTGATGATGTTAAAAATATATATTAAAAACAACAAAAAAACAATTGTATGAGTTATTGTTTTAAGTTCAAGTTTTTTAATTTAATTAATTTTACTTTGGCGCAGCGAGAAGTAAAGGATTCGCCGGGGAATGTTTAAAAGTTGCATTCGGATGTTCCGAAGTTGCTTCGGAATTAGTTCGAGATATCTTGATTTTTCTTATTCTTATTTGTTATCTTGGCTATAAATAATGACTGCAAAAGTATTTTGCAGAAACATTGGAGAAATTTGGGCTAGTAGCTTCAGAATACGAACGTAAATCGATCACTTCGCAGACGAATTTGTTTATGTCTTGTTATTTCGCGCGATACGCTTCTCTAAAGTGCTGAAAGTGCGTTTCAGTTTGGCTTTTTATTGTCGAAACCTTGTCTTTTCCCCTGAAATCTAGCCTGAAATTCAATTTACACCGAGAAATTTATTAGTTTGCCGGTTAAATTTCCGGCTGATAGATCAAAGTTTCGGTTCTGTACTACGGCCTAAAGTAAGCTTAAAAGAAGACGCTGTGGGAGCGTATATTTGGGTGTTGATGTACTACGCGAGTGAGAGGTTTTTTTCATGTGTATTAGGGATGTGTAAGTAGTGCAGTGGCGTTGTATATTTTAGCGGTTGGCTGAGATACGTGAAGTGGAAGGAGTGGAGTTATACTGGACGTGAATTGGTAAGATAATGGCTGTAGTTTGTTAATCAGCGAAACTTGTTCTCATAGAATTTAATATTAACAAGGAGTAATCGGAGCTTAGGAGAGTGCGTTCGACATGTTTGTTAGGCGTACAGGTAGCAGTTGAGAGGGAAGATTGGATGGTTCTTGCGATAGATAAATATGATTATGGCATATTTTTAAAAAGGGTTGCGTACAGCGAAATCTCTGTTTAAACTGTATCTCATTATGAAAAGGTTTTAAAGGCTTGTGATATCGTATGGTTCGTCTCAAGTGCTTGTAATTTGAGGAGACACTGGCCGAAGTGCGTCGGGTGTGTAAAGATATAGAACGTGCAATAGATGTTCTACAGGGCGCAGTAGCTCGAAGGCCTGATTGGCGCTTAACCCGGGTTTCTTTTTCTTTTGTTCAAAAACATTTCTTCGGATAATTTTCAGTCTGTTATTTTTAAGAGCATCCAATCATCAACTTGTTGACAAAACGAATTAAACTGAATTTACTTTTCAAGCTTTCACATCTGAATTCAGATTTTGCACTAACCCTGGGTTATCTTAACCACCTTCCAACAACTCGGGCCAGGTATTGTTAAAAAGCAAACAGTTGACAACATTTTAGATGTACTCATTAATTTTATTTATTGGGGATTCCACATGTGGACAATACCTGAAATTTACTATGAAATGAAACCGTTTCTGGCAATTCGTCTTAATTTGTGTTGATATTAAGGACCCAAGACCACATTTTTTGTGGTGAACGCTGGAGCACAATGAATTGTGTTTGAGCACTGCTTCACTTACACTACACCTCTCAGACGTTTCAAGGGAATCATCAAAGCCTTTGCTGCAATATGTGTCATCACGACAATCACTTTTTCAGTAATTTGGTCGAGTGTGTTGATTTCAGTGATTTGAGAGGCGCTTCTGGTTTATAAGTTTTTCCGAATAAATAACGTAGAGCTAAACAGGGGCACCCAACGACGGTTTTCTCCTAAATACATTGAAAACACTTTTTAGGCTATCCAGAGTACTTTTAGATCTCAAGAAATGAATTCTCAGCGGCGCTATAAAATTTGTATCTGTTCGGTCATCCTAGGGCAAGTTAAGTCTTTTCGAAATTATTAGGGCTTCAGTATTACTTTCCCGAAAATTTTAGATGCAATTTAATGTTTTACGAAAGTGAAAATTTTTCTAATTCCCCTCTTCATGGCATTATTGAATCCGAAAATTTTAGGTTTCCTTTTTACTATGATAAGAGACCTTTGGCATCACGTTTTTCATGGGAAACTGCAAACCGCAAAATGTCACGTGACCACTGCCTTGCGGTCACGTTTGCAGTTTGCAGTTCACGTTTGAACGGCAGGAAGGGCTTCTAGCGGTAAGTGATTTACGGCATGGTTTTTTGCCACAAAAAATTATACAGCCTCGCGTTTAAAGGTATGAACTAGCTTTTTATATCCGTTTGCGATGTGTTTGTTGGATTTTTGATCCCCAAACAATGAATTATTGCTGATTTTTGGGCGATTAAAGTGATGCACTTCGACTTGATGAAAACAACATGGCGGCCCTAAACAATGAACGCGTAGTTCAAATCAATTTTAGGTTCCTTTCTGCCGTACTAACAAAGGAAAGTATTCTGTTCCAACCCAGAATTACATTTTTTTTTCTATCTTGTTACTGAATTCATAGCTTAACTCAGTCTCTGTTTAGTTCCTATTTTTATCGCATCACTCCGCGATTTCATTTTATTTTTCTTATTTCTTTGAGATTGGGGAGCCCAGGCTTCATAAATCCTTCTGGTTTCTTCTGGGCTCCCTTGCAATCTTACAATTCCTACATGTATTCTTGTATTGTATTATAATTTGGCTAAATAAAAATGAACTGAACTGAACTGAACTGAACTGAACGCCTTGTTAAAGCAACGCGAAACTGCAAACGCGTGACTGCGGTTTGCCTGATGCTAAAGGTCTGTATTAAAATAACTAAACCTGGGGAGTGAAATGTGAACTGACTAAACTTCAGAAAATCGTGGGGAATTTGTTAGGTAAGCTTCGAAAATAGTCCAGTTTCGAGTTCGCTTTGACCGCTGAATTAAAGAAGTGAAGACGCATTTTTTACAGGCTTAGCCTCCATCTGAAGTAATATATTCACAGATTCCAACGAGAAAAAGACCTGTTTATTACTCTGTCTATTGTGTATACTCAAATTTTAAACACTTACTTGCCGGAATTTCTGAATATTTTACTTTACGTCGAGGCTAACCCTGTATAAATGTGCTGTTAATGTTTGTATTCAGCGGTAATTTTTAATTCCAAACTGGACTATTGCACGTGAATGGACTAGTCACCTAGCAATTTTTAGCCGACCTCAAGAAATAGAAAATTTTAGTCAATATTTGCTTCTCCGAACAGATAGTTTATAGAAAACAGTCGCTGGGTGCCCCTGCAAGATGTTCGTTTGTCCAGTGCCGAAAATATCGCAAGTCATGATGAAATGGCGCCGCCGAGCTTCACATCTCGGTAGATTTACTTTGTGGCACAACGGCCGCCGAGCTACTACACAACTCAGCAGATTTACTTTGTGTGGCACAACGGCCGCCAAGCTACACAACTAAGTAGATCATTTACTTTGTGGCACAACAGCCGCCGAGCTAAGCAACTCGGTTTCATTCACGCATGCACCAGGAGTCGCACACATTTTCCAAAGATAGTGGCGAACCATGCTGAAAAATATGAAGGCTTAATCCAAGGTAAAATTTTAATCAGGGTGTTGAACGCTTTGGAAGATTCAACAAACAGAGATCGATAGTAGACCTTCAGCAAACTCTTGAAATATGTATGCTTCACGAAGACAAATAGTAGACCTCAGCAAATGTTTGAAAGATGAACAACGAGGACACACGAATCACCACGCGAGTTAGCGCGTCAACGTGAGGCAAAACGTAAGCAATCGCCTCAAAGCGAGGCAAATGTGTGTCGACATAAATGCAATCTCGAAAAAACCTCCCTTATTAATTGCACACGACACCTAATAATGTACAGAACACCCAACACAATTAGGGGTTGCGTTTTCGTAACTCGAACGCAATTAACAAAAAATAACTATTTTGGGAGATATATCCGTCAGTTCAGTTTTGAAGTAGATCGCAAACTACGCAATGCAGAGTAAGGCTCTAGGAGAACACTTGAGTACTAAGGAGCCATGCCTTACATCGCCTTATATGTAAAAAGCAGCCCTTTAAATTCAATACGCTGTTCAACAGCCAGCCAATGTAACTGCAGTGGCGTAACGTGATCTGATTTTCTTGACAAGGTGACAAGCCTAGCTGAAGAATTCAAAACATATTGCAGACGTTGTAATAAGTTCTTAGGGAGATCATAAAACAAAGAATTACAATAATCTAGCTTAGAGGTAACTAATGCGTGGAGGAGGATCTTCGCTGTCTGGAGACTTGATGATGCGCGAAATGTTCCTGATAGAGTAAAACAAAGATTTGAAGCTTTGCGTAACGTGTTTGTCAAGTGAAAGCGTCGAGTCGAGAACAACTCTAATACTATTTGAAGAAGTGGAACAGGTGACAGATGAGGTGGCTACTTGAATTTGATCAAGCAGGGGAGCAGGACGGTGCTTCAGCATCTCCGTCTTATCATCATTAAATTTAGTTTTATTACATAACATCCATTTATTAATATCAGGAGCACAGGCTTCCAACGTAGAGGGTGCCCTAGAAAGATCACCCGAGATAGACGACTTAAATGATACATAAAGGTGAGTATCATCAGCATAAAAGTGAAAAGACACGTTGTGATGCCTCATTATGTCACCCAATGTGTTGACATAAAGCAGGTATAATATCGGACCAAAAACAAACCCCTGGGAAAACCCACAATTCAAAGGCAGACTGGATGAGCGGGCACTACCGATAGCAACGAAGTGCATTCGCCCGCTAAGATATGACTTGAACCAGTCGTGCGCCTTGCCATCTATGCTAAATCGGACGGTGAGTCTAGAAAGCAAACTGCAATGATCAACCGCATCAAACGCTGCTGAGAGATCGAGGAGAATAAATATTTGCATTGATCATTGTCAATGGCTTGTAAAAAGTCATCTTGAACCTTTAAAAGTGCTGATTCAGTACTGTGATTGGGTTTATGAGCGGACTGGAACTGTTCCATCAGGAAATTATCAGTTGGATATTTGGTCAGATGAACAGCTACCACCCGTTCACATAATTTATAGATAAACATGAGATTTGAAATTTGACGATAATTTGGAAATTGTTCTGGGTCTAAACTTGGATGCTTGATTAGGGGCTTCACAAGGGCTCTTAGAAGACATGAGGGACAAGAGCTTGGTCAAGTGACAAATTAACAATCTCAGTGTCAACAGTTCCTTTTAAAACTGAAGCAGGAAGCGGTTCGAGATCACAGGACTTTGATGTCGTCGAGAGAATGATGTTCGATAGTACATCAGATGAAACGGGTTGAAATTTGCTCAGGTTTGAGCAAGAAACTATAGAAATTTCAGTCATTTAATTGACTCATCCTAGAATCAAGACCAGCCCTGATTTTCAAGATCTTCTCTGTGAAACAATCAGCGAATTTTTCGGCGAGTAACTGAGAGTTGTCACAATGGGGAAGTTTTTTCTCGCCCAATAAATGTAAAAACCCGTCAACTGTAGCAAATAATTTTTTAGGGTCCAACTGATGATCAACGACCAGAACAGAAAAATATTCCATCTTCGACTGGTGAATTAAATCATTCACGGTTTTGCACTGACTAAAATATTCCTGACCATGAACAGTCAGACGAGAGGTACGCCACATTCTGCGTCTGCGCTTTTTCACATTGATCTCAGGTTTAAACCAAGGAGCAGCCGGACGTAACGTGACTTGACTTAATTAACCCAAGGGTTTTAAAAATAGAACGCGGATTGCAAGTGAAGATGTTGGTCTCTGCCGCTTTTACGGTTCGACCGTGAAAGAATGCAACTTGTTTAGAAGGTCATTTTGCTCAATGAGATTTCAAGAAGTCACCTCTTTTCCGAAAATATGCAATGAAATTATGCACCATTTAATGTTATCCTTAATTGTCATGAACGAGATCATGGAATTTTGCGTGATATTTTGGTGCTCGACAACTGAGAGCAAAAATATTGTCAAACTCTTGGCAATAAGCCAAAACAATCACACCGTTTCACTTAGTGTACCTTGTGTTTCCAAAAAGTTTGATTTCTATTACTGTGGGTCGTATGTAATGAAGATAAATGCTGTGTTGTGACACAGCGCACGGCAATCATTCACGTCACTTGGCTTGTTTACATTCGCATGTATTGCGTGCCTATTGCAATTTTGAAAAAGTAAGGGTATTTGCATAAAAGGACATCCCATTTCTTTCTATTCCTTGGCATTCCCAATTGATCTACGATAGCGAAGCCGAAGTGTACGCTCCCATAGAGTCTTGTTTAAATTAAAACGCCTAATTTTCCCGTGGATAACAAACAAAAACAACTGGTACGGTAGAAAAACCAAAAAGATCAATTACAAAGTGCATGTACATAGCAGGCATACATTGTTAAATGGCGGATAAATTCAATTGGCCTCCGTAAAGAGTTTCATATGTGACAACGGCTTTCCTTGCCCAACCCATCTCATGCCACGATTATAGGGAGTTTTAGCAACGACCATAGCGACGGCAACGAGAACGTCACAAAAGCAATAGGTTAAGGGCCTGTTTACATGGAGGTGGGGGACCCTAGGCAGGTGACGTAACATGTGGCGGGTCACCCCATCTATCATGTAAACGTGATCAAATTAAATTGAGAGATAATATGAGGGGGCGCGTTTCCTCACCTACCTGGGCTCCCCCACTTCCATGTAAACAGGCCGTTATTAAGCAAAACAAAAGTTTGCTAGTGCACCACGTTTTTTTTTTGTACATATCGTTGTCGTCATTTCACGACTACGACACGAAAATGCCCACTTTCAAGTTTCATAGTTCTCACAGAATTTAGGGAAGAGGAGGGGGGGGGGGAAACAACGTCTTTTCAAGGACAAAAATCATTTTTTAAGGACTTTTTTCCCCGTATTTTAACATAGAATGACATGAAGTAAAATACAATATCTGTCGAAAATGTCCCGATTGTGACTACTACAGACACAATCTGACTAGACTATTGATTGAGCTTTTGCAAACTGGCATTAATGTTTGCATCCACGTCAGCTAATTCTTGCATTTTGTAATTGTCATTGAGTTTTTCTGAGCGAATTGGCAATCAGCTAGCGTGACAAAAGTTAATTTGCATGTGGCTTCTGCTTTCAAGAAAAGTTTGTCTGGTGTTTCAGACATATATCGGAATCTACTCTTCCCTTTTCCCTCTTGATTTACTCGATCTCCTTAAGTTTCAGCTTCTTATTAAACAAAAACTGAGCCTTTCGCCTTTTTGATAATAGATAAATAGATAATTGTTTATCTCATGGATAAATAACATTTTTAACTTTACAGAACTAAAATTTGTACTAGGTTATAACTTTATAATATAAGGGAAATAAAAAACGCGAGCTGAGAAGCTAAATAAACTGTTAGATTTTCTAGTTAGCTCACCATCCAATTAAAGTCAGTGTGTAAGCAGGTGAAAACATCTCATCAAATACTTCAGTTAGCATGCCTTTATGCCACAAAGAAATGAATTTTTAATCGCGAAGGCGATAAACATTATCCACTGTTAAAATCCTAAGTAAATTTAGTAGAGGTTTGGCTCGTTCTGTTTCTACGTTGACATCGTCATTCCAATTCAAAACAATATTAAAATATCAGTACTTCCAAATGCGTAGAGGAGGGTTTGCTTATTGCACTGATTGCAGTACCTTCCCCAGGAAGGCATAGTTCCTACATGTGGGGTATTACAAACAACGGCAAATGAACTATGCTGGAAACACCGAAATTATATAAAAACACACTTTCATGACCAAAAACCTTTACATATTGCAGTGCTTTCAAATCTTTCCTTTGCGCGAAACACTTTCTTAACGGCAAATGAATGATGCTGGAAACACCGAAATTAGATGAAAACACACTTTCATGACTAAAATCTTTACATATTGCAGTGCTTTCAAATCTTTCCTTTACGCATTTTTTTTTCAAATGAAGGCTATTTTCATTCAAGGATTTTTCAAAAATATTCGAGGTCTTCTGAGAAAATTCAAGGACTTTTCAAGGATCGTGCGAACCATGCGTTTTATGGAGGAAGTAAACAAGCGACGACGAAATTTTCTCCCTCTGTCTTAACTTAAGTGCAGTCGTCAAGAAATCAACTTCAAGGAAATTTGCTAACATTAGACATTTTCAGCGAATTGGGATAAACGTAACAAAGTCTAAAAAAACGCTAGTTCATTTTAAAAGTGACATTTTCGATGCTGTCGCCCTCGTCGATGCTAAAACTCAAATTTGAATTTACGCAACAGCGTGGCAGAAAGAGGGACGGCTGAAATGCTTGTGCGTGACAAACGTGACGTTTCACCTAACATTAAGGTGGCTCGACTGGATTTTTTAGCGGGAATACCTCCCAAGTTTGAGCATTAACTACGTCGGCACGAGTAAAGATATGGGAAAAAGGTTACCACAACTGCATTAAATAATATTAACATTTCCTATGATCTGGGTTTTATTGCAATCGGAGTCGCCATGGTAACGTAATGACGCCATAACGTTTTTTATTTACCTTTGTGTTTCTCTGTACTAGGAGTTTTTTTTTAAGAAATCGCTTGAGGGAGTATGTACCTGCCATAATTGCCTCAATTATGACAAAGTTTGAACAATTTGAAATATTTTAAAACGAAGTTTTAAGAAACATAAAAACAGCGAAATGGCATGCTATCCACACAATTAGCTAATATTTTAAGAAAATGATAAGCTTTGGAAACGCGGCTTTATCTCATAGTGGTTTGATTCCATTGAAAACTGCGTACCAAAAAAGAGGGGAATTGTTCCGGGCGATCGCGAGTTAGAAGAATTTTATTAACCGGCATTCAGCTGCTTTTGTTACAGTTTTTGCACTTAATTTGGTCCACGCCTACAAATTTCGCATTATTCGAAAAACCGCTCGATAATTTTTTTTATACACTTGAGAATTCCGAGATTAATCGTCAATAGATATACTCTGCAAGTTTCAAGAACATTGAAAACACAGCCTGCGTAGCAGGCGCTTGAAAGTAGTCGACGAAAGAGAGAACGGGCGCGCGCGAGGGAGACACGCGAGGGGTGAGGGAGCTACCTCTCCCCTCGCGTGTCTCCTTCTCGCGCGCCCGTTTTTTCTTGTGCCCACTACTTCCAAGCGCCTGCTACGCAGGCTATTGAAAACAGTGAAGGCTTTTCAATAGGGCCTCAAATATAACCAATTTTTCCCCCCAGATTTTGTTTACAAGTTAGCGTCCTCATTATTCACTGGCGCTGTTTTCAAGTTTCAAATGCACGTGCCCAAATAGCAAAAAAAATATCTTTGCATGAAATATTTGGCCGCCATGTTGTTTTACGGCAAGAGTATGATGAGTATATCCAACATGGCGGCCAATACAAATCATACTACTTTGTTGAAAAGTCGAAGTGCCATAAAATATCTCCCTTAAATGCACTTCCTCTCAAATTTCGGGTGTAAGATAATTTTAACTTCAACTAACGTCAAGTTTTGGCACCAGCAAGATTCCAACTCATTGTTTAAAGGAAGCATTGGTCACGTGACCTCTTAGAGCAAGTGGCCTATTGAGTGACGTTTTCGTAACCGTCGCCATCGCCGTTGCTTATGCACCCTAGCAACCACGACAGCGACGGCACCTTACTCTAAAGGTCTGTTTCTAAGTTTAGAAAAAGAAAATTCAAATCGTTGTCTTGAGTTCACGTCCTACATAAAACGTGAAATTATTAAGTTTCACGTCGTGGTCGTAAATAATGGACGGCAGAGAGTTATTAAAAAAAGCGTGATGCACGCGCAAAGTTGACGTTTTGCTTAATAAACTTATTGCTTTTGTGCCGTTATCGTTGACGGCGCCGTCATTATTACTTATGCTCATATCATTGTTCAATGTAAAGAATTCACTAACCCTGTCCTTAGCGTTGACGTTCGCACCGTGTTCTAACAACAGTTCGACAACAAATTTCTGTCCATACCAACAGGCAAGATGAAGAGGAGTCAAAGAAAACTACAGAAATAGGGAGAAAAAAGTAATTATAAAAAAAAGTGAAGGAAGCCAGCTTGTCCAGCAATAATGATGGTCTTTCATAAAGTAAAACTAAAGGCTGTTATTGGACTAATTTATCTTCTTCCGTTTACAAGGAGGACCCCAAGTGTAACACTAAAACTGAGTCCAAACGTAAAGTTTACGGGTCCTTGTCCATAAGAAATTGATGGAAGAAGGCTGCCTGTTACATTCCAACACGGCTTATTTTATACTGCGAAAATAAAGTTGTAACATTTTCAGGCTGGTAAAACGAGAAAACGAGCAAACAAAACCAGACAAATGAAAAAATCATTTTCATTTTCTGTCTCGCCTAAACCTAAATTATTTCACGGCGGGTCATTTCCCCAAGTTTAAAGTCTCCATAACTATTCATCGTTACAAACTCGTATATTGAAGTAGTTTGGATATGATCGTCTGGGTGAGTAAAGTACCCAATAGTCTTTTGGTGACAGAAGTTGACATTTGTTATAACCTGCGTCAAAGCGATTTTCGGAATTTTTCTTGACTTTCACATGTACGTTGACTTCTGCATTATTTGAGTGTGAAAATGTCAGTGTGGTACTTACTCGACCTACTATTGACAGGATTACTAGGTTCAAACCATTTCCAACATCAACACCTCAGTTTATATTTAGCTCTTTACCCATGAATGTAATAGGAAACGCCATCAGACATTAATAGCAAGTCACTTGGGTAAAGAACATGGCCTTAAATACTGCATTTTAGGGGTAAAGGCTTTACTCTTGCCTAACGAAGAACTTTTGAAGAAAATTGCCTCAATTCTTCCAGTAAACTTCTTCGTGCATATTATTAATATGACAGAAAATGACAGCTAATCCGAGAATGTGCAGAAACTATCAGCAAGTACTGGACTATAAAAGATAAAGCCGTTACAATTCTTTTTGTAGAAAATGCGCTAAAACAGAATTTGTGATTTTCCCGCCCTGTTCCACTACCAGTCAATCAGAATGCTGTGTTTCTTCATGAACGCAAAGGGTACAGTACTCAAAGGTTTCGTGCAGGCTCTTGCTTCTAATCCAAACACAAGTGCATGCGCGTGATTATCTACTAAAGCAAGAAAAGAATGTAAGAACCCACAAACATTAGATTTACATAGACCGGGGAAGACTAAAACCTGATCTTTTTTATCCACATCTTCGCCACTTTCAAGAAGTATTTTGACCGTCTCGTATTGTCCACTGATTGCAGCCTTATGTAGAGGGCCTCTAGATGCCTATTTCAAAAAATAAATTTTATCAGAGTAAATATAAATGCAAAACATAACATAATCCCAAGAGAGGGCACCCACTCTTGAAAATCCTGTTGATAAAAGCCAGATCAATCAATCCAAATACCACTGGGTTATCTACTATGTTATAATTAGATCACCCTCTCTTTCAGGTCTAACTATCCCGGCGTAAATGTATCTCCATACTTATAATTTTTCGAAATGTTACTGTCTGTATCTTCATCAATGCTAGAGAAAATGATTCAATACTGCACTCTGCTTTGTTTGATTTATGTTTACGTCGTCAAAAATATGCCATTTTCAATTCTTCCACTAAGTGACGTTTTTAAAATATAATTTGTTTTGCTTACAGTGGTTACCACTAACACGCGCCCTCAAAGGGTTTTTCCTTCGGTTCAAACCTGCGTTTTGGTGGACGTCAATCAACCGTTACCATATTTTTTCACACGTTGG